ACAGCTTAAATGTGAGATCGCATCCATTCAGTGTGGACTCTATCTTTCAAAAAAGCAGATCGTTTTTTCGATGCACTTACGCTCTCTTTCGGAAGAAGTTTTTTCAGAAGATCTCTTCCAGAAAAGCTTCTTTCAAAAGAAGCCTGCAGTCTAAAACAACCCAACATATTTCTTCTCTTCATCACCATTACTCACTCTCCTCTTTTTCCCTTCTGTCTTTTTCATATTTTCTCCTGGAATTAAAAAAAAAAAAAGAGAGAGAAAGAAAAGCAACATTTGATCATGACATGAAGACTACAAATTGGATCCTTTTCTCTTTGTGGTAACCATGGGGCAGAGGAGTTGAGTTCCTCAATGATCTGGAAAATTGCTAGCACATCACAGACACAGCTTCTGGGGATGATGCAAAGTCAAACAATGAAGCACAGGGCTTTGTTTGAAACTGCAAACTTGTCTGCATGCAACTTTTAAAATTATTATTATTACTTTTAAATAGTTTAACTTTGTACAGAATTGTGTGTGTGTTTTCACTATTTTATACCCTGAACTTGGTGTGTTCACTGTTATTCATAAAAATCACTGAAAATACCTTTTGCATTTATGATTTTGAGTTTTATATATTTCACTGAAATGCCCAGCTTTATTCTCATAGAATCCACACATTTGCTCTACTTAAATCCTCACATAAAGTGTAATAAAATGCACACATGAAACTTAATAAAATCTTTGCATTGCTACACACAAATGAGGCTGTGAGGTGATCATGATTAAAGCTTTATACAAAAGCAATGCATTGGTCACATGCAGCCCCAACACTCAGGTTAGGAGCATAATGTATTGCTGACTCTGTGCCCCTGAGTAGTTATAACATTTTATAGAGGTCACCCTTCTGGCAGTTCAAAACATTCAGCAAATCTGTCTACTTTCTCCCCCATACAACTGCAAAGCTTTCTCCCTTTGCTCTTGTAAAACACAGCAAGCAGTTATCACAAGATGCAGATCTCATCTTCCTTCAACCCCAACAACAAGCTCCTTCATTTACCTCTTAGTCTATGTCTAGACTGCAGACTTCTTGTGCAAGACACTTTTATCAGAAGAGATCTTCTGCAAAAACTTTTTGTGCAAGAGCGCGCCCATACTGCAAAAGCACATCGAAAAAGCGATGGGCTTTTGCGAAAGAGAGCATCCAGACGCTCTCTTGAAAGTAAGCTCTGATTGCTATTCACAGAATGGCCACTAGGGTACCTGTGCTTTTTCCTCTTTTCTCTTTTTGTGCAAAAACCCCTCTGTTCTTTTGATTCTCTTGCGCAAAAACGTGCTTGAGGTATGGATACGCCGTGAGTTTTTGTAGAAAAACTGCTGGTTTTCCGCAAAAACTCTGTGATGTAGACATAGCCTTAATGTTCCAAATGCCCATTCCAATATCATTCTACAAATAGTCAGGATATAGTTAAATAGCTAATTTCTATCTCTCATAAGCCAGAATGACTGGAAGAACGGCAATACCAACAGTGCTCACAGTCACCATTGGAGTAAATGTTCCTATTCTCATTGCAGAAAACAGTTTAAATTTTCTAAAGATCCTGGCACAATGGATCTTTCCAGTATGATCAAGCAAACCTTGAAACACCATGGTAAAATGACCTTTCTGTTGATGTACACTGACACTTGGTATGGAAGGGCAAAAAATAGGTTTGTGTCCCATCACTGGCCTCAAGACAACTAGGGAACTCCAACCATGTAAACCATTTAATAACCTCCTGTATATTACTCAGCCATATGACCTGAGTGACAGCACCTCCTAAAAAAGATGGTTGATGGCAAGAAAGGAGAAGAATCATATGAATCATTTAGCTTGATCCCAACCCTCCCCAAATTTCAGAAGTTTCTTACAATGCACAGTGCAAAATAAAAAACAAAAAAGCAACAACCCTGAATACACACAGTACATCAATGGAGCAATGCACCATGGGATATCTGGATAGAAGTTGAACACTTATTTCAAAGCTTTGCAGTCTGTCTGGCTGCAATAATACAAACCAAAAGTACTGTAAATGAAGAGTAGCAATATGGTGAATACAAACTGCTCACCCAATAGTTGTGGATCGCTTAATGTGGCTACACAAAACCTGCAACAAGCTTCAAGTGCAGACATGCCCTATGGTATTCTGATTGCCTACTTGGCAGGGAAACAGACATTCCAATTGTTTATTCACCTGAATCTAGAGAAAGAGATGAATTACTTTGAACAGTTAATATTACAACCGTTAAACCAGGGTAGACAGGTCCATATTCTGAAACTTAATGTGGTTGTGCAGATCTAAAATACCCTTCTCTTTACCTTAAAGACAAAAATAGATCACTTTGACTTAGCCCCAAGTGGTGGAGTTTTTCCAGCATGACAATTATGTGAGCAATCTTGCAAAAAGTAGGCAAGAACTATGTTAGCCATTCTTAAGTCCAATGGCACAATAATTTCACCATAACAATAAAGATTCTGAAGCTTTAAAACCTCACAGTTAGGACACAACTTTGATCACACAGAGTAGATTCATCTCATTGTCAGTGCAGAACTCCCTAAAATTATGAATAGTAGATACATCGTCTTAGATAGATAGTGAAGAACTTCAGCAAAAACCCAAGATTCTGGCAGTAGATAGAGCCCCAGAATTGGATGACCTAAAGTGAAATTTTGTGTGTTATCACCCTAGCTTTGTTAATGTGTTATCACCCCATCTTTGCTCTTTTTTTCCTCCCACAGTATTTGAAGCAGAGACTTCCCTGTGGGAACAATAAGGCTATGCCTACACTGCAGGCTTTTTATGCAAGAACAGCTGTTCTTGCACAAAAACTTGCAGAGTGTCTACACTGCACGTGTGTTCTTGCGCAAGTAAATTTACAGTAAAGCATCAGAAGAGAGGGCTTCTTGTGCAAGAGTTATTCCTCTCCCCATGAGGAATAAGCCCTCTTGCGCAAGAGCTCTTGCTCAAGAAGTCAGTGTGAACGGGCAACAAGAGTTTCTTGCGCAAGAAGCCCTATGGCTAAAATGGCCATCAGAGCTTTCTTGCGCAAGAGAGCGTCCACACTGCCATGGACACTCTTGCACAAAAGCGCATCTCTTGCACAAAAGCACATGGCATTGTGGACAGGGGCTTATGCAAAACAGTTCTTGAACAAGAAGCCTGCAGTGTAAACGTAGCCTACAGATTAGAATCCATTCTCTCTCTCTCTCTTATAAACACACACACTATCAAAGACCCTGAGCTTTGTGCTTCCTGTAAAGTGTATTACTTATCTACATGGTTGTGTCTACAGAGCAGTGTTACTTCAGAATAACAGCCATCATTTCAAAATAATAATATAAGCATCTACACAGCAATTCTGTCATTTTGAAATCACGGACAGCTTATTCTGACTTCTGTAAACCTCACTTCATGAGGAATAACACCTATTCTGAAATAGCTATTTTGAAATAGCTGTAGTGTGGATGCTCCACTTCTGCTATTTCGAAATAGCTCCTCCCCAAGGCCATTCAAAATAATTACTCCCCAGTGCCTCCTGGGACTCTAAATTGAGATAGCACGTCCACATTAGCAGGGCTAGACGAACCGCGGAGAAAGCCGCTTGCCAGCCCAGCACTGTGTGTGCGCAAGAGCCGCATTGCGCATGTGCACGCCGCCGGTAAACGGGGCACCGGGCTGAAATCTACTCATCATGGGTGAGTAGATTCAATAGATTGTCGAGCTCTGCACATTAGGTAAGCCTCCCTCAGACTAATTTCAAGGCTTCTTTGTAGTATAGACGTGCTTTTTTGAAATAAGCTATTTCTGAGTATTTCTTCCAGAATAGCTTATTCCCAAATAAGTGTGCAGTGTAGATGTATGTCCTAGGTATAAACATCTGGACCAAGGTTCTATCTGTTCAGCTCCAGGACATTCACACTTTAACTGCTCCTGCTCAAGCGGGTTTCATTAATAGCAGTTTTCTGGCAATCATATCTGACAACTAATTAGCCTTATAAATAGAATAATTTAGGGCAATCCACTCTCTTCATGTCCACAAGCAGAGAAAGTATTTGACAGGCTGAACTAAACTTTTATGTTTGACACTTACGCTGATCCATACCACTGGAGGGTTCTGTCAGCTCATACACTGTAATTTGGAGCGCTTCACAATGCCTTGTTCTCTGCCTGAGGCATACACAGTCAGCAACATTTAGGGATAGTAGGTAGCGATCTTATTCTAAAGCCTTTCTCCCTTTCTCTGCTAATGTAATAATTTCCTGAAAACAGCGCTCTCATTAACTTTTGTGGTAGTTGCATGTGTGTATCTAAGAGCAGAATGTGACCATTAGCATGTCAGTGAAATACCTTTTCCATTATTAAAATCAATGGCACTAATGTCAATGGGACTTCCTGCCAAAGTAAGGGCCCAATCCTGTAAACATTTATGCATGAGTATTTTTGTTCACATTTACAATTACACTGATGCAAATGAAAGCATAAGCGTGCATAAATATAGAATCAGGACCTTTCATACCACTCAGCATATATGTTGGCACAAACTTGTCCACAGATGTACAGGTTTATAAAACCCTGTATGTTGAAAGTCAGCTATTGTTATTAGACCCTGAGTAACAGCAATTGATTTTAAGAGATACATTATGTGTTTGTGTTTCTGCTGTCAGCCAGTAACGGTCACATCTATTTAAATCTTACTGTAAATACAGCCCTAGAACAATGCTTTGTGGGGGGTCATCACACAACTCTGCCATTGTGAAATGTGTAAGTGTAACATAATTCTGGTTACAAAATAATTTCCATGCTCAGGAAATTATATCCTTACAACCTTAATTTTCCTAAACAAAGGGCTGGTTTGATTTCTAATCACCAACCTTTTTCAAAAGCCAAACTCAAGACCTGACTCTGCAAATATTTATCCATCAGTATACATTTATTTGCAGAAGTCCTAATTAGCTTAATGTAAGTAAAGTTACATACCTGTTTAAGAGTTTACAGGATCATGACCTTAAGAAGAATCTATTTTTGGAAAGGTTGGAACATTCCATTAGAGTTGTCATTAACACTAGAAAAACCACAGAAATAGACTGTCCCATGAAAATGTCAGTTAACTACATTCACAGCAATGGATCACCCATCTATTGATGCAGCTCAGCAGACAAGAATTACTTGTTAACTTGTACTGGCAGGACAATTTTTACCTGAAGGCAACAAGTGTGTTGTGGCATATATTAAGATTTAAACAGAGTATCTGTTATTGCCGATGTGTAACGAAGGACCTACAGAGTCTGCAAAACTGTGCCATTTTAGGTTATTTTCAAATTATGTAAAACACAAAGATTTTCTGAACTATCCTTGATCCCCAAACTTTGATCTGATTGATCCACTAAATACAAATCTTCTATCAGTTTATTGGAGAATCTGCCCTGAATTGTTTCTAAATGACAAGTCCAATAAAATTCTCTATAGCCTCCTCTTCCTCTGCTAATCTTTTTAAGGTTATTTTCATATTCCACACGCCAGGGTAACACTGTATTGCATCATTATGTATATTTTAAAACTTATGTAGGGTTTGAAGTGTAGGATTATGCACATAGGAAGTTAGTCTGGAATAACTAGTCTGGTCAATTTTCCAGGTAAACAAGCCCTTAAACAGATTTAATTGGCCCTTTGTTTGCATTTTGCTTTTGTCATCTAAATGTCTTGGCATGACCAACTATTATGGCTGTTTAAGGTTCCCTTACAGCCTGATGCAAAGTCCACTAAAGTAAACGAGAATTTTCCTATTGACTTCCATGGGCATTAAATCAGATCCTAAATAAGACATAAATGACTAAATACTATAATGGTTTGATTTCACTCCATGGTTAATCCAAGGTCTCATCTGTATTTTAGCCCAAACTCCCATACTATCCACAAAGTAAAACCTCTAACTCAGGTTTGTGGGGTCTTAAAGCATAGGCTGGTTTCCTGGCTAAAGTATGGCTTAGAACCTGGATACCTCTGTCATATGGGCTGGAATCCAATTACTTTATAGAGAGGATGTGGATAAAAATCACTTAAATACTGACAATCCTATAATGCCCTTCCCACAATTCTTCCCAAAGGACAAACAAGTTTTCCTGTAATTGACACAACTGTCTGGGAAAGAATCCCAGAGCATCTCAACACACAGAACCATAGAATGTACCCCCAGACATACATGGGGAAGTGCAGAAATAGTAAGGACACAATAATGCTGGTATGGCTTTGCTGCAGGAGCTATATTTTTCAAGTAGGTTATAGGGGAAATGTATATCTTATGTTTTCTAGCACTTCTGTCCTGAAGGAACACAGTTTTGTAACATGCTGAAGATGTCTGGTTGGCAGATGTATGGTCATTTTATGATTGTGAAGAGCAGTCACAGAGCTGATGGCAAGTTGAATTTTCTGAGGTATGATGAGTCTGAATTTTTGTATTTTACAACTTTTTTTACATTTCTGGATTTCAGATGCCTATGATTTTTAATACCCTCTTTATCCCCTCTCCCCACCTCCTCCAGGTCACAGCTCCCTGCCAGACCCTGCACCCCCCTCATTTCACAAGCCTTAAGGGAGCGGTCAACAAAGGCTTCCTCTGTCGACCAATCCGCGTCTTGACTCGCGCTCTGTGCCAACGATCAGCTGAGCTGGCACAGCATGGGGCTATTTTTATTTTAATGAAGCCGGGGATATTTAAATCCCCGTTTCATTGACTTTGTGGGGTAGCCTATTTTACATGCCTCTGCCGACACAGGCATGTAGTCTAGGCATTCCCCTAGTGGTTCTGGTGAGCTGCCTAGAAATCACTGAGCCTGCATTTGAGACCTGTGGGCACTTACAACCCGAGTCTTTTGCTGAGGCAGCAGGATCTACTCTAGTAAAAATAGCAGCATAGCACTATTTGGGCATGCAGAGAGCTGTATAGGATACATACCCAAAGGCTCTGGCATGTTTTTATTCCTAAGTTGTGCCTTACTATCCACATGGCTATTTATACCCATGTTAGTGTAATATGCATTATGTATACGCTGTAGACTGCCTCAAGCATAGCCTTAATGTTCATTATTCTTATAAATATTTATTTTCTGCACCAACAATTTTCTTTCCCTGTACAGTAAAGATGATAAAGAAAGTCCCATCACCAAAGAGTTCACATTCTTAAAAACAAAACAAAACAACAACAACAACAACAACAAACAGGGAAGATACAACTCTGGAAGTAGGTCTCATAGCCCACGATCTAATAAGAGGTTATTTAAGGATTTAGGAACTATGTCTTGCAGCATGCAGCTTGCTTGCTACAGGAGACTTCCCTGCGAGGTTTTCAGTAGGTTTTTAGCTGTATGGCTTTCCAGGGAGATAGGCTTGAACTTTGGGGCAAGGTTGATTTTCATAACTGGGATCTGAAATCTCTCCATGTTCTATATTTCTCACCTTTCTTCCTCATAGCACCAATAATCTGCAAGGAATCTACAATTCTCTCTGAGTAGCTTGGCTTTACACCAGCCAATGCTGTGAAGAAAACAAATGTCCCTGTTTATTTTTCAACCCACATTAGACTGTAATTAATGCATTCCTTCGTTCAAAATAATGCATCAAATATTCACTCCCGAACAAGACTTCTGTAGATTATCCCTTTCCTTTTCCATGATTCTGACCAGCCTCTTCTGATACACAGAATAGCTTTGTAACACTCAGGTAATACCTTCCCTCAAGCCCAACTGTAGTGAATAAATTAAAAAACATTTTTATTCATTTGTTTTCGACTAAGAGTTTTTGTTTTTCTCTTATTTGGATTTTGTCCTGCCTAATTAAGGCTTCTAGATACCTTGGCAGTGGGTGCTGAAGAAGTTAGTATTACCAATCTACTGTATATTTGAGTTTGTCTGTGAGTGTGTCTGGCTGGCTGTCCATCTGCCTGTTTGTTCAAGAACTCCTCTTAAGCAGTAAGAGCTGGGTTCACCAACTTTGGTACGCAGCTTTCTCTTATCATAACTTAAAGCAAGGTAAAGGTTTGGTTGTGCCAGGACAATGGGATGTGCCTAGAATGTGAATATTTCTCTTAAAACAGAAAAGGAAGGCTATGCTAGCAGGAACAGTTAAACTGTATAATGATCAAGGGAAGGGGGAGCAACAAAGGGCCAGAGATGGGGATCGGGACCACTATTAGTGCATTGGGGCAGCAGGTGGCAGGAGTGGAGAAAGGGACAGCTATCTACCATATTTGAGAGAGTTTGTCTGTCTGTCTGGACATGCACCCTTCCTCTGAGCTGCTGCAGCAGCATCAGCCATGGACAGGCTCGTCTCACCTAACCCCAAGCTGCTGCAGTGAGAGAGGGCTGGGATTGTCCCCTATCTCTGGGGCACCCTGTATACTGAACCCCATATCCCTAGCCCCACCCCAGAACAATGATTTAACTAGAGAAAAACAAAAAAATTATTTGAGTTAAGGACCCAGAAATGCCAGGTAAGTCTTCTAAGTAAATATATAAACCAGACAAAAGCAATGTAGTAATAGATGATCTCTCCAAAATAATAGGGTAACAATTTGAATATGGTCAGTCAGGACTACATTTTTAGTTTACATCTAGAACTTGAATTTTATTATTTTTGTTACAGTTTGTGAGGGGCTAACTGATCTCCATTTGGGTAGTAGATAAACCACAGAAGGCTTAAAGAGACTGAGATCTCTCCTGGTATCATCTGTTGACAGAAACCTAGATTATTTTCAGCCTTAAAAAGTTGCAACATTCTTTTTAAAAGGTCCCTTGTGAACAATACATACACCTAAGGCTTTCCTTCATTTTTTTCAGTTTAAATAGAATAATTAAACAGTCTTTCAGACTTTATTTATTAAAAAGAAGTCACCTCAAGTCAAAATGTATTCAGGGCTCATTTTATTACAAAATAAAAACAAACAATGGCAAATACAAATGACCAAGTAACGTGCAAACTTGAAAAACCACATATCCAAAGTTCAAGGTCCCAAGTTATCTCTTAATGTTCCTTCATCGTATAATCATTACTATTATTTAGTATTTTAACGCCAGCTATATTCTTATCTCTGTACAACAATAAAATAAAGGCAATCTTGTCCCTAAATGTTTATATTCTAAAAGAAAGACATATAGAATACAGAGCACATGGGGAAAAATTATCCCATCCCTAGAACTGTGGGTCTGGACCCCAAAGTGGGTAAGGGCCCCTTTTTAATGAAATCACCAGGGCCAACTTATACTTGCTGAGGCCTGGGGCAGAAGCCTGTGCCCCATCACCCAGAGCCAAAGCCCGAGCCCGAGTCCGAGCCTCAACACCCAGGGCTGATGCCAAAGCCTGAGTGCTTTAGCCCTGGGTGTCAGGGCTTAAGTTATAGGTCCTTTCCCTGGGGCTGAAGAACCTTGGGCTTTAGTTTTGGTGGGTAGGAGGGGGTCTGGGGTAGTGGAGCTCAGGCTTTTGAATCATGTGGTGATTTTTGTTGTCAGAAGGGGGAGGTGGTGCTATGAAGTTTGAGAACCCTGCCATATGTGTTTGGTAATATTCAAAATGTTAAGTGCAGTGCTAATGAGGGGATCTATGCCTATGCCTATATAACATAATGAAGAACCATAACAGGCTTGTGTGATAGGTAAGTATTATTATGCTTTTAATCTAGGTCACCCTGTTAATCTGTGACTCGGCCTTGAATAATAGCATGCAGGATTCCTAATCCTCAGGTCACTGATCATAAATTTGTTTCTCCCCTCCATAACACACTCGCATCGCCTGTTAACGTCACCACAATCACTTTCCTATTGCAACTAAAAGGGAGTAGCTTTCCATCTAACAATTCAGCAAACAGCTACCTGAGAAAAAGCTTTACACAAACTGTCTTTATTCTAATCCAGATACATGCAAAAAATGTTAGGATACATTTATCAAGTTTGAGTGCCTAAAGTAAGTTGCTTGATTGTTTTCAGAACTGTAGGCATCCACAGCTTGAATTTATCTGTGGGTGCTTACCATGTGAAAACTAAATCTTACTTAG